TTTTTTTTTCTTTTTTTTTTTTAAGTACAATTATTATCAGTTAAATCAAATGAAAAAAATAACATCATTATATAAAAAAAAAAGCCAAAATAGGCCAAATTCATTTTTTTATGTAAAAAAAATACATTTTTTCCCCCCATATGACCCTTGTTCTACTCACTCATTAAGAGAAACAGTGCAATCTGGTTTGGTCTTAACATCCGAGTCTCAGGTTCAGGATTGAAGTTCAAACGTGCAGACCTTTAGCCTGAGACTCTTTGTATTGGGGTAACCTTAACATTTACATTAAAGTGTGTCTTAATGTTGTTCAGACATTGTAAAGTGCAGGATGTACCTCCATGGAACTTGTGAGAGGAGGACTGGGAGCGCTGAACGTCGGGCTCCCCAGCTGAGGGCCCTCGGGGTGCAGATAGTCCTCCGTTTCCATGACAACAGGCGTGGCAAGAGTGGGCATCAGGCTCCGAGCAGAAACATGGTCACGTGTCAAACCCCTGTCATTCTCCAGCCATCTCTGCGAGAGAAGTCAGCATGATAATCATCAAAAATTATCTATTTGTAACAGTGTCTATAATTCAGACTGATGAGTCCCGCTGGAAAATGGTCTTGTACTGATGATAAAGCAGAATGTATGAGCACATGATGCTGGCGATGCTATAAGCATCCACAACGGATTACCTGAAGCTTCCAGGTTTATTTGACCTATTACTGAATGGCTGTGATAACTAGCAAGATAAAATGTACAGATACAGATAAAATGCATGCATATGTATTATATATATTTGGGTATAATACATACACATAATGTATAATACATTGTTATCTTACCAGAAGATCTGAATGAAAAAAACCTGCCCTTTTTGTGGTCTTTATATATTATATATACAAAATAAAGCAGTTTATTTCAGATAGAAAGCTACCTGAAAGATAGATGAACAAATGTGATGCCAGACAGGACTAATAGGTTAATATATAATATATTAAATATGTGATACAGGCCTTGTCTATGTGACAGTTTGAGGGACATTACAATGTAAGTGTGTGTCAGTTTCATTCCGAGCTCTATAATACAAACTGTCACTAACTCAACCTTAATAAAAAGATAATATCAAACTAAAAACGTTTAGCTATAAATCAGAGTACGATCAAAAATAATCTGTCTGAGCGTTTTTAACCGAACAGCACTGACCCCTCAAGCACATCACTTTGATATGATTACCAGCTCGTGTTGATTATTATAGATTAACAGAATTGATTTATTAACGATTTTATCAGCGGTCTGCGCGTTTTTCTGACTGACTCAATGGAGCGCTATTGTTTGATTCGTGCTAACATGCTAACCTGACAGAAAACTCACTCACCGCGCGTTAATTAAAACCCCCTGTCCGCGAAACCCCTCCACGAGCACTAACGACCACTCAATCTG